TCGCTCGGCCAGCCTCGCCTCTATCTCGCTCCCTCCTCTCCCATCTCGTTTTCCTTCATCTCCATCAACGAAACGAGGCGCGTTGATTTAATTCCCCGATGCAACGTGGCCCGGCCCCTCCGATTTTACGTGACGGGAAAATATGTCCGGCCAAGAGGGAATGATCGTGCTGGAGGTCGTTTCTCCATCGCGGGTAGTAACGTGCTTTCAACTTATGACGAAGGCTCGTTCAATAATTTCACAAGGTTACGGGGACCGCCGATAGCACCGGTAGCACACTTGACCGTTTCGCAAGAATCATCGATCTCGTGATTCCAGGAAGTCTGTAAGACAACGTTCCGACGACACTGTTTCGAAGCTCGAGGTGGACACCTTGATAGGAGAATGTTGTTCTACCTGTCCACATAAGATTAGATCGCCGACGATTGTATCGTGATCCGTGTTTTTCGTGTTGAACCAGATGATTGAGAGCAGGCTTAAAGGGAGAGTCGCGGTAATTTCGTTGCTTATCGGTACGTGTCTGCTGGAGCTGTTAAAGGGGTGCTCTCGTTTGGAGAGGTTGAAAAATTGAGTATTTTTTCATTGCATTTTGTTAAAATACGATATCTTGGAAATGTGTTGGTAAGATTCTAGAATCGACGAAATGACAGAGTTATAATGATTTGAAGAAAGTGTAGCAAGCGTAGCAATAATGAATCAACTAATCTCTCCTAAATTTCACATACATGAAAACTACACTGCGATTTCCTGAAGCTTGACCAACCATGTATGAAAAATTTCAAGTTCCTTGTATAATTTTCTATCCTAAAAATCATCTAAAACTGACGACTCCAAATGGGAATATTTTTAAAATTTTCGAGTCACCGAACTGCCTTTGTCAGTAAGACTCGCGAAAACGGTGCTTAAGGTGCTAAGGACGATTTAACAGCTGTCGTAAAACTTACGACTGGATCAAAAGCTGAATAGAAGCTTAGCACAAAGTGCATGTAACTTACAATGGAACATCTCCAAGTGATAATCACCGATATTGATGAAACTTCGGTATATAGTAGTTCTCGAAAAAATATTAGACACGTATTTTTTTGTATCCCCAATCGTCCGCATTAAGCGGGTGAAAATCGTCCTCAAAGATAAGAGCAATAAACACTTGGTCAAAATTATTTATTATTTCCTATTTGTCCAATTTTTATTCCAAAGTACATAATTCGTCAGCTTACACTATTCGAGACATTAGACTAAATATATTCACTTGAAAAAATAGTTCTCAAAAAAATAATTGACGCGTATCTTACACCAAATCAGTGATTATCACTTCGAGATAATTTAAAGCAACCCTCAAGCTAATTCCAACTGACGATTAAAAAACAAAAAGAAACTCTCCCCTAATTCGCTATTTCGCAACGGCAGACTCCCGTTCCTCTCGTCTCGACTCTAAAATATTTGTGTCACGGTATTCGGGAGTCGAATCGAAAGCGCTCCTTATTCTTCCAAGAAAGCAAAAATTCCCCTGCTATCTCTACCGTGTAGCTACTCAAAGGGAAACCAGACCAACCGCGTCTCCGTGCATCTCCACCTCCCCCTTTTCTCTCTCTCGTTTGCCCGGATACACAATTCGCGAAAATCCTCGTTGCTGCTCTCCGTTGCCTCTTCCATCCTCCCCCCGGTTTAAGTTACGCTTTAATGTAACCTCTGTTTCTTTTGACCCGAAGCGCATCCGGGCGCCGGCTGTTTTCTCATTAAGGAATGGAAAGTTCTTACGGCGGGCTGTGCCGGCGGAATCGAGAGAGACGAGCGTACAGCGTCGCGACGGAAACGCGCAAGCCACTCGTAACAATATGGCGAGATGAGAATATCACGTGGAGAGAAAGAATATCGGTGAACGGTTCGACGGCCACGGGGAATCCATTATCGAGCCTTAATATCTTCTCCATTTGTCCGTGCTTCTTTATTTCTCTCCCCGATGATGCTTTATTAGCGTCTCGTTTCCGCGAGATGAATAGCTTTTCCGCCCGGCGTGATGCGGCACGAGTAGCAAAACGGAGCAGAAAAGGGGGATGAAAATCGTCGTCAGCTAGTAGGATTCAACGGCCTCGAGCACCGCGGCCTCGTAATTTCTTTTCTCGGATTAAACGATCGTCGATCGTCGGAATTGCATTTCGCGGGAAAGGGACGACGGAACGGCTGGATATGCCACCCTGACATTTTCCTACCGCCGTCCCTGGAAAAGGTCACCGAAT